CCTTTATCCTGAGTAAAAATTACTCGTCCACAGTTATTTCAATGTCGACAGCTCGGGAATCGTAGGCTGGCGATTTTTCAGTGGATAAATTCTCAACTGACGTGAAAAAAACCCTGCTGCAAATATCCACAAACGAATGTTTTAAAAATACCCCCAACGGATCGACGTTCTCACGATCTCGTCGACACAAGGACACTCCGCGCAGCACAAAAAAAGAGAACAGTCACGCTTCAAGCGGACAGAGAAAATTAAAATTCAAAAAAACGATGTTTTTGTAGGAGAATCACGAGGATTGATCTTCCGCCGGTCGTGTGACTGGTGAGATCTCGTCAATCTTGCGCTTTTTCAATAAGGAATTGTCAAACCCAGGCACAGAGGCGACGCGTGGGATGGCAATCGAAAAGCCCCGCTTCTTTCGCGAGCCGTCGTCCGTCCCAAGGGCATCTCCGTTCTCGCCGCCGAGTTTAGACGTCTCTGGCGCAGCGGGGCCCTCGGAGACGGTCTTAACGCCGGCGACTTCCGTTCCAGCGGGTCCGTTTTCCTCCTTGCGTACATTGGATACTTCATTTATCCGACGAACAGCTACGGGTGTTGAAAGAAGAAAAATATTCCGGATTAGGCGACCATTAATTTAAAAAAAATTGAATCAAATTAAATAGACGTGAAAAAAACGTTTCCATGCGCTGAACAAGGGAAAATAACCGTTCCTGAGATTTTTCTCAGTGATTTTTTTTTAAGCTGTATCTTCAGAGCGTTCGCAGCTATTCGCTTGGAACCGGTATTTAAAAAACTGAATTATCTGAATTCGACCCATTTTTCAACTGAGAGCTCCAACCGTTGGGGGAAACCACAGCTCATAAGTCGTTCAGTTTCTTTTTTGCTTACTCTGCGAAGTGAAGTCAAAACGAGCCTGAAAATGAAGCTTTGGCAGATCAGTTTTCGTCGTGAAATGACTAAACGTTGAGCCGGATCCAAACCGCACAAAAATCGACAAAGAATAAACCAAAACGTGTCATTTTTTTCTCCAGAATATATAAGAAGCGGATTGCAGACATGTCAGTTGAAGCAAGCAAAAAATATCTGAACTCGATAGTTTACGAAGGATAAAACACGAACGTGATAAAACTTTTTCAACAATGCATGAATAAGAGAAAAGAGAAGAACCCTGATTTTTCACAACTATACAGTTAAATTTACGAGAAGAAGAAAAACGCTCCGTCAAACCTCTTCAAATCGAACTCCAAAGGACGAACAAAAACGTAAGTCGATTTTGAGCTTAGGAAATAAGCCCTTCTGTTGGAGGAAATAACGACGAGTTATAAGAAATCATAATTAGTGATATTCTAGGCCTTAATTTGCTTTTTAAATGAGCTGAGAGGATGCTGAACTGACAAGGGTATACTGTAGTCGCCTGATTAGTCCTCCAATTCCTTTTAAAACGCAGAAAGTTTGATTTTTCTCCATTTTTCTCGTTCCTCTGCCAATAAAATAATATCCACAAGGGCTTCAGAAAGTTCTAGTTATGGCAGTTTGAGGGGAAACGCGTTTGAGTTATGGATTTCGGTTTTTTTCTGAGGGAATGGGCTAACTAAGAATTCGAATTCCGGCGGTTCGAGTCATTCAGGTTCAACTGTGTTTGAAGAAAGAAATAAAGAAATTCGCGTCAATCGAAACCAAAAAATCGAACTCGAGAAAAATTTAATAAACCTGGCGACATATTTTTCAAAAAGATATTTTAATTCAACATCGAGGTCGCAATCTAAATCATCAATAAGATCTTTCCGATTTAATTACGCTGTTAAAAAAATTACTACAATTAATGAAATTATTGAGCCAATGCGAACCATCAAAACTAAAACAGAAGAAAAATTTTACAAATTTAAGCTAAAATTACTAGAATAACACTTTTAAATGCTATTCAAGCAGAGTGCGTCGCGCAAGAAGTTGCAAACCGAAAGTCCATAATAGCAAGACTCACTTTCAAATTGATCGCAATCAAATTCCAGCTTCGGCAAAATGCCCAAAACGTTCGGATTCGACTCCTCAGTCAGTCGCAGGAACAACTCGGCAATATCCCTTCGTTTCCTCCGCATGAGTTCCGCAGAGAACCAGTTTTCCAATCGTTTCAACGGCAATCGAAAGTCCGTCACTTTCGCATCTCCGCAGAAAAAGCTTTCAACGTATTGAAGCAAGTAAACTCCGCAATCGCTAAAATTATCCTGCTGCGGACAGCGAACGCAATAGCCGCGAATCGTATTCTTATCAAACACCCGTTTCTCATCGTCCCCGTGTTTCCGCTTCCATTCCACTGCCAGATAGTCCCTGAGAGTTGCTACGATTCTAGAGGGATTCTTGCTACTCGTCCGCAACGAGTCGAATATTAAGATGCATGGTCTGCAAAAAAGAAACCCGTGAAATTTGGCAAACCGCGTCCAGTGCACTAAAAACAATTACTCACTGATGAATTGACTCTAATACTTCATCCTCCGGGGCTTCTTTCTTGA